TGGATGGATGGATGGATGGATGGATGGATGGATGGATGGATGGATGGATGGATGGATAGATGGATGGATGGATGGATGGATGGATGGATGGATGGATGGATGGTGGATGGATGGATGGGTGGGTGGATGGTGGATGGATGAGTGGATGGATGGATGGATGGATGGATGGGTGGGTGGGAAGGTATTGCACTGGTTCAACAAAGTCCCTAAACTGCTCCTCTGTGTCAGGCAATGTGAAGGAGTGGAAGGGACAGTGGTGAGTGATATCGATGCGTTCAGAATCACTTGTATCTGCTGAGTGCTTACAATGTGCCAGGCACTCTGCTACGCTCTTTCCATACACCTCGTTTCACCCTTCCGATGCCCTATGAGGTGGGTGTTACTAGTGCCCCCATTTTATAGATAAGGAACAGACTCAGAGTAGGTAGGAGGGCTGGGATCAGTAACCTAGGCTGGCTGACCCTGAAGGCGGGGCTGCGCATCCTGTTCCCTCTGTGGATGAATGACTAGAAGCACGTTCATGAGCAGGAATGAGTGGATCTATGTGTGGATTTCCTCACCTGGGGGCTGGGTTGGCTTCCTTGGCAGGAGTGCAATCCCAGAAACAGATCCCAGTGCCACGGCTGGTGGCCAGGCAGAACCGGACCAGGAGGAAGGTCCTCTGGACTCTGAAGAGGACCTCTCTGTGAAGCAGCTGCTAGAAGAGGAGCTCTCCAGCCTGCTAGACCCTCACACAGGTAGGGACTCGCTGTTCTGCTTCTGTCCCCATGGTGGCCTCATGTGCCCAGGCTTTAGAGTTCTGCTCCAGCCCTCCACAGGGGAACGCAGACATTGTTTCTAGAGAGGAATATCAGCTACAACGTATTTCCCCTGGAGCTTCAGGCGGCCTTCATTTGTTTAAAGACCAGACTCTCCTTTGATTATTCATTTTAAAAACTATTATAAGAATAATGAACATATATCAACTATACTTCAATTAAAAAAAAAAAAAGAATAGTGAACAATTGGTGAGCTCTTGGTGTGTGCCCAATACCAGGAAACATCTTAAATAAATTGTCTCATTTAACTTTCCAAACAGTCCTTGGAGGTAAACAGAATTTAGACATAAGCAAACTGAAGCTCAGAGAGGTGATGTAGCCTGCCCAGAGTCACCCAGCTCATGGGCGACTGAGGGGGGCCAACGGGGACCTCCCCTTACCAGCTTAACCAGTCACTTCCATTCCTTGGTTGTGTTTAAACACCTTTTCACTCTGAGAACTGAGTCAGCTCTTTAATGTACTGGCATTTCTTATCAAAACAAAAAGAATGTTTTCCAGAGAAACACTAGTTTTGACAATGAACACATCACATGCATTTTAATTCAAGAATCTGCTAGCAGACCCTCTGCTGTGGACACCTGTCAGCCTCCTGAGGTAACAGCCTATCCACCTGACCACCCACCCCTATGCTGGGGTTTTCTGTTTTTGTGGTTAATAATCTGGTTTTTGTCTGGACATATCTTATGTGCTCCATCTGGCTGCAAATACACTGAAGGCATGGCAGGGACTTTCCTTTTCTTGGTTGAAAAGATACAGCTAACATTTATTGCTCACTTTCTATGTGCTAGTCCCTGTTCTAAGGTCTTCGTGAGAGACTCTTATGAGATAGGAGCTATTCATTATCTCCATTTCATAAAGGGAAAAACTGAGGGGGAAGGGCATTTAATAATTTTCCCATAGTTGTGCAGCTAGTAGTTATTAACACAGGCAGTGTGGCTCTAAATTAAAATTAAGTAAAATTAAATCTAATTAAAATTAAGTAAAGTGAAAAATTCAGTTCCTCAGTCATACCAGCCACATTTCAAGAGCTCAGTAGCCACATGTAGTTAGTGGACTTGCTTCAGCCAGCACATACATAGCAAGTTTTATTGGACAACATTGTCTAGAATCTAGAACGGTGAGGTCTAATAGAGTAGCCACTACTCACATGTGAAAATGGCTAGTCCTAAATGAAATATAATATACTCCAGATTTTGAAGACTTGATATGAAAAAAGAATGCAAAATATCTTGTTAACAATTTTTAAGTGTCGATTACATGATAAAATTATATTAAGTATAAAAATATTTTACAAATTACTTTCACCTTGTCTTTTCACTTTTTTAATGTGGCTAACTAGAAAACGTAAAATGGCCTCTCGTGGCTCCCATTATATTTGTATTGGCCAGCTCTGGGCTACAGCTTGTGGGCTCAGTCCCCTTGTGGGCCTGCTCCCCACAGCCCAAAGGGCAAGGAGCACAGGGAGACTGTACAAAGTGTGGGCCTGGAGATGGCAAACCGGATAGAAAAGTCTGCGCTGCTCACAGGCCTAGTGGGGAGTGTGCCCACACTGGCGTCTTGGCCGCATTGGATGAAAGTCCCACCTGGGGATGCAATGGTAATATTTTACTAGATGCATGAGCTGTCTGAATGCCCATAGCAACCCAGAATGAGTAGTACTGTTTCACCACTTCATGAGAGAAAAAGGCTCAGAGAGGTTAAGTGATTTTCCCAAGGTCACACTGCTCACAAGTGGCAAAGCTGGGAAATCAAGCCCAGGCTAATCCCAGCACCCACCTGTTGCAGACTGAATTCACCAACACTTTTCAGCCATTCTCATACATCCCAGTGATTTTCTCATTCCAAGCTTCATTCTTTCTGAAGTTCTCCAACCCTTGTACAAGGAAAGGAACAGCAAAAGAGTTTCAACCTTATTCCCCGAGTCTGAGAACTAAAGTTTACATTTCCCAAATGTCCAGGGTTCATATTTATGTTCTTTCACTCATTCAGTTAACATTCTCTAAGTCCCAAGTATGGGCTGAACTTGTCAGGAAGGGGCCTGGCCCTGCCCTACAACCAGCACAGTCCTGCACTGACAGGGCGAGGCCGAGACTCACTTGTCGATATCAACACTAATTAGCTGTATTTGGGAATCACTTTTCCAAATTACAAAAGTAATATTTGGTTCATGTACAAAAATGTAGGTAAACAAAAAGAGGATAAATCACTTCTGCCTAGGGATAATTTCAGTTAACACTTTGACATATCTCTTTCCAGTCTTTTATTCTATGCACAGATTTTAAAGCAGTTCACCTTAAGCAAACATTAAATACATGTTAAAATAGATGTTGTGCCTTTTTTTTAAAAGACACAGCCTCTTAACCACACAATGTATACTTTCTTTTCTGAAGCATGGCCTCTACCACTACCACTGGGCCTGGGGCTAGGTTTTTGAGACAGGATTTTCTGTTGAAGAGATGGGAAAAGCAGAAGCCTGATGGTGGTATTGGGGACAGTCTTTCACCTTCTCTGTCCCTTTCCTGGGACAGCCCTTAGGCAGTCAGCCACCTCCCAGCCTGCCTCTAGGCCCCAGTTACCTATAGCTCGAGAGATGAAGGTTAGGAGTTGAGGGCACAGGGCCAGCTGGTGACACTGCAGACTTCAGCTGGCCAGGGAATTCCGGAGGCCACAGGTGGGCACCCGGAGCACCCAGTGGGGAAGGGCCAGCTCTTCAGAGTGGGTAGGCTGGTGCAGTCCCAGGGGCTTCCAGTCACCAGGCCTAGCATCAGAGCTGCCTTTGGTTGCTTAGAGGACATGTTGTTTAACTTCTTGGGACTTGAGTTTCCTCATCCATAAAATGGGACAGCTCTCTTGACTTCAAAGGCTTGTATGGAGGGTAAATGAGATACTTATGTAAATTGCTTGGCACAGAAGTGCCTACCGAGTGGTCACCACTATCATGAATAGGAACTGAAGGCAGCCCCAAGCCAGGAATGCCAGTCTTGGCTGAGCAAAGAGCCTTTCCCCTCAGGCTCAGGGGCGCCCCGGGGAGTGGGAACGCCGGCTGTACAGGAACCGTGAAAGACACCTAGACCTGAAACACACCACGCGCGGGGAAGTGCTTTAGAAACAGGCCAATTTCTAATTCTGGGCCTTCTTCCTCCCCCTGCCTCCGCCCCACGCAGCTCTCTTGGATACTCCGGGGGCCGCCTTCCTGCCCAGCCAGCCTCCCTGTCGGGCCTCTTCCTTCCCAGCCCGCTCTGGCTGCCCCTGGTTCGGGCCGTTTCCCCTCTCTCCTCTGTGCGGTGCCCTTGCCCTGCCCACAGCCCCCGCGCCTCACCGCGGCCCTCCTCCCCTGCAGGCTTGGCGCTGGACCGGCTGAGTGCCCCCGACCCAGCCTGGATAGCGAGGCTGTCCTTGCCCCTGGCTACCAACTACCGCGACAACGTGTTCTCCCCGGATGCCGCGGCTTTGGAGGAGCCGAGGACCTTCCAGACGTTCGGCAAGGTGCCGGGGCCCGAGCTGAGCCCCGCGGGCACGCGGCTGGCCAGCACCTTCCTCTCGGAGATGAGCTCGCTGCTGGAGCTGCTGCTGGAGGGGCGCAGCGGCGTGCCCGTGGAGGCGGCCTCGGCGGCGCTGCGGCGGCTCTCCGCGTGCGGCAGGACCCTCAGTCTGGACCTGGCCACCAGCGGGGCCTCGGGCACAGACGTACAGGGGCCCCACGTGGAAAGAAGGGGGCCAAGGGCAGGACCGACCGCAGCAGCGGCCTGTGGACCCCGGAACCGGGGGTCCTGGCGGGTATTGGGGAGTCCAGACCCGGAGGATCCTGCAACATGCGCTGGTTTCTAAAATCTTTGAACTCACTGACCAGAGGTGCCCCAAGAAATTTAGGATGACTGATGCTGCCCCACAGAGGAGGGTGGGCCCAGGACTAGCCGCTGGCTGACCAAAGCAGCCCCTTGTTAGGGGATGGCTCTGCCTGTGGATTTTTTTTTGGAGGACAAAGACAGTTTGTGACTAAGTGTTTGCTGGCAAAACACATGTAGAGCACAGAGGGTCGCTCCTCCTGTGGAACAGATGCCAGGGAGTGTCGCAGCAGGAAAGATGGCCTCATTGCATACTAGAGGGTGGGGGCTGGGTCCCGGGGCACCAGGCAGAGCTCTCTGACCTACTAATAAAGGAAAAGCAGTGGCTCCTTATCCTGTTTGCACCTGGGGAGGAAAGAGGAACAGCATAAGGGTTCTTTGTTATCCAGTCACCAGCAGAGGGTCATGCTGGGCCTGGGCAGGAGTGGGGCAGTCGGTGCATGTTGGGTATGCAACAATGAACACATGTACTCTTGACCCCATTTCTCTATTGTAACATTATCAAATAATCTGCTTCTCGGCTGGAAAATTAGGGCCAAGAAAAGTGACTATTTATAGAGCATTTACTTGAGCCAGGCATCATGTTTTACAATAGGATTTAATTTAATTTCCCAACAACCCTGGAAGGGAAGGGACGTGTTATCCCTGTTTCATCCGCAAGGACAGGAGGCTTGGAGAGACCAAGAGGAAAGGCAGAGCCAGGCTTGTCCAACCCCAAAAAGCATGCCCTCCGCCTTGACACTAGGCTGCCAGCGAAGAAAGGAGACACAAAGCCCCCATAGGTGAGCTTTTGCCGGGCGCAGCCTTACTTGAGTTTCCCTCAAGAAACACCATTGAAGAGAACACGTCTGTGCTCCCAAGTACAGAGCAAGGGGGACCTGGACCTGACCTGATGAGGGCCTGGGCCTCTGCAGGCTCCCGTCCTTTCCCAGCGAGGAACCCTTCAGGCACAGAGGTCACCTTTCTAGACCCCCTGCTCACAGGTACGTCTTCCTCTGACCCAGCGGGTTTGGACCTGTGAATGCACGCCCTTGAGGCCAACAGATGAACTGGGTCTATGAAATCAATACTGACAGCAGCAAACCTTCCAGGGGAAGAGGGAGTGAAGCAGCAGCAAGTATTTTCCCAAGGCTCAGCTTCTCATTTTCCTGGAAATTTCCAAGCAGTCATTCAGCTAGCTAGCTAGCTTCCCAATAGCATCGGGCTCTCCTCAACACCCAAGGCAAAAATTCCTCTTTGTACTCCACCTTTGGTCCTTTTGGAGATTAGTACTCACGTTCACTGTCCACAAAAATGGGTCAATTATCCTCCCCGCTAGGGATGATGAAAACCATATATATTTGAAATGCAGCATAGATTATTTTATTGTTCCATTTTACAAATGAAAAAAATGAGGTCCCCAAAAGTTAAGTGTTTCAGGAGCAGGGCTTCTGGGTCTCTGAACATCTCACTCAAAGCTTGAGCTATTTTCTTATAAAATCTATGCTTTTCAAGCTGTTGGGTTCTCCAAGTCAACGGGAAAGGCCAGGAGAGACCAAGCAGGTAGGGTCTCCATGCTGAGCAGCCAGGCACCTGGCACAAAGCAACACTTGGTGAGTACTCGATGAATGGGTGAATGAATGAATAAAATGGGTAAACAAATGCTTCAGAGTTCCCTTTCATCTGTATTGGAGTTCCAGGTAGGACTTCATTAGGAAACAGGAGATTCCATCATGTGAAAGCCAAGTCAGACAGGCAGAGCGCTGGAGTAGACAGCGTCGGCTCCCTGGTTACTGGTGGATTTTCAGTGCAGAGCTGATGTTGGGCGGGTGGAGAGAAGAGACGGGGGATGTGGCCTCGGCAACCTGGAACCAAGGCTAGCAACTGGATCACTGGATACACTGACCACTGCTTCACTCTAGTTCAAAGCCCTGAATCTCTAGTCCTCGGGCCTGCTGAATACTAGGCAAAACTTTGAGTACAGACATTTTGTCTAGGCAGAAGGTACAAAGTTCTGGTCAGATTCTCAAAGGCATGTGTGACCTATAAAAGGTTATGCAGCACTGCTCTATGTCACTATCTAAACCTCCAGACAGGGGCAGTTTTAGCCATAAGGGGTCTGAACATTTTACAGCCGAGGAAATGGCAAGACAGAAAAGGCCGATGTGTCCAAAGCCACCTGGTAGGTCTGCGGTACAACTAGGATCCATATCTGGATCTGTTCTAACACATCAAGCGTTCTGAACCTGGCGTCCCGACGTTCAGGATCCATGAATCTGCTGCACTGCATGCAAATCTGGGAGGATGTGCACTTTCAAGGGAAGCAGTACCTTCATCACATCCTGAAAGGGGTCTGTGAACTAAATTAGATTAAGGACCACGGCATCCTCTATGTCAGTCCCGTTCTGCCTTCCCTCCGAACCTGGAGAATTCTCGGGTAGAGTTGTTCCTGTTCTGAGGCAAGCGATCTTTGATCACGGTGTGGGTGTATGTATATGAGGGTCGCTCTCCTCTGCACTATGCAACCCCTTCTAGCATGCCGACGCCGCTCCTTCCAAAGCACAGGCTGAGAGTGAGACGTGTATCTGCTGACAGAACTGAGTGTGCTGCACAGGAAGGTCACAGAAACTTCTTGACACCAACCCAGATGTCAGAGCTGAACTTTGGACATGCTCAGAACAGTTTCCACAAAGATGGGCTCTGCCCCCTGGGTGGCTGAGGGAGCAGGCAAGCCAGTCAGCACTCAGTTAAATGTCATCTTAATTCGGAAAGCACATAGGGACGCTTCTTACCAACAGTCAGCCTGTTCCCCGGCGCCAGGAATGCGCTGCAGCGCTCGCCTGCGGCCTGGGGGCGACTCAGAGACTGACAGGCAGGCTCCTTGTCTACCGACCGACTTCAGCTGGCAGCTCACTGACCCGACCTCTCCTCTGGCTGAAACAAGAGTGATTTGGCAGCCGCCACCCTTAGGACCCTGGAGAGAACCAAATCCCAAAAGGAAGACAGGAGTGGGGAGAGAGGAGTTTCAGCACAGGCTCGGCCTGGCACATAGTGTGTACCTAGGAAACAGGTCAGTGTTTCCCAGCTCATACTAAGTACTGGGTACAATGCACTGGGTGGGAGAGGAGGGAGGTATAATCGGAAACATTCAAAGCATTTTGTATTTATTGAGCAATTACTATGTGTCAGAAATAACACTAGGAATAGCAGTGTAGGGGGTAGGATTATACAGAATCACTCAACAAACATGTAAAGCACTTACTGGTAAAAATGTCCCTATGTGCTGGGCACTGGGTGGAGAGGGGGCAATGCATAGAATCACTTATTCACTGAATAAATATTTACTGAACAATTACTAAGTGCCCTGCATTGAATCAGCATCACAGAAGATGATACGTATGGAACCACCTCCGGATAAGGTGACCGAGGCAGCAGAGCTTTGCACAAAGGTCTCACTGCCCAGCGAAGCAGGCCTCAAGCCATGGGTCAACCAGTATCCCGACCCAGGCTGGCCCTGCTCACTGGGGCCACCTCCCTGTCCTCAGTCACATTTCCTTCCAGGGCACTGATGGTGAGTCATTAATAATGGCATTTTAATGGCAAAAACACAGCACTTCCCAGGGCCTGCCACTGAAGCCAGTCCCCTGGGGCTGGACGGAACCACAGTGACTGAACAGCCAGGGACTTCTAGTCCCTTGACAGCATCTCTCTCATGAATTTCCCATCCTACCCTCTCCACAAGAAAAGCTTGAATATATCCTACCCCCATGTTTGGCACCCCAAATTGAACCAGTACTTAACTTGTAATGACTGGTGGGGAGGGAAAGCCATCACCAAAGGATGCCCAGTGTCCCGGGACCGTCCCAGCTGCCCCTTGGTCCCAGGCATGGTCAGGAGGAAATGGTAATGAGGGGACCTAGAATGACAGCAGGAGGGTAAGAGGAGCAGGGCTCCAGGGCACAGCAGCAGGTGGCAGGGGACAGAGGGGGCCCAAGAAGGATCCTGGGCAGTCTGCAGGCGGCTGGGCAACCCTGGGTTAATCCAGTCCTTCACTACAGGACTTCTTGGAGCCTTGAATACGCTGACGTGCATTGCGAATCTATAAAAAGGGGATGTCTAGTACAGCGCTTCCCAAACTTATCTGACCACAGATACCTTTTTTTTTTTGCAGAGCGATTTAGTGCACTGCACAGCTTAAAAACCTGAGCCTTAACCAACACAGTATTGAGCCCCTCCTGCGTGGGGTCTTGTGCTAAGTGCTGAGGATACTGGAATACAAAGAAGACAGGGTTTCCGCTCCCAAGGAGCACTGTGGGAGGCAGCCACAGTGGGGGAGCAGTGCGGGTGAGGTCAGGGCGCAAGGCAGCCCTAGAAAGTGAGCAGGCAGCAGGGGATGCACTGGAGCTCCAAGAAGCTTAGGGCTGCACGGGTGGGAGGAAGGTGCTGGAAGTGTGGCAGGATGGCTGGAGCCTGGGGAAAGAAAGTGGGGAGTGGCAGAGAGGGAAGGGTGGACAACTATGCACCCCAGCTCCTCTCACCTTCGAACTGGCCAAGCCGGGTAGTCTTTCCCAAATGAACAGTCACTGGGTGGCTGGATCCTCAATCCCTCCCCACCTACCCCCACCAACCACATCTATGCCTTTGAACTTGGGCTCACATCCAGAAGCCAGGAACAGCTATTCACAAATTCAGTAATTGGAGTCATTAGCGTTGACTCAGAAATCATTTTTTTCTAAGTCTCTCTCTTAGAGAAGCTTTTAAGACCCTTTAAATTGGTTAATGGACAGTTTAGAGATGAGGATGGAGCCTCCGCTTTCAGCTCCCCCTTCCATCTCTCTGACTCTCCCCAACACACTCAAGGGCAAGAGTGATGAGACGATCCAGTTCCTGTTTTATTAAACTCCCACCCACTTCCGGCACACTCTGCACAGACGCCGACCTCAGAATCCACACCCTGGCCCACACGCTGCATCTCTATCTACCCCTACGCCGACAGAACGATAATACTGCTTTCACGTGAAACTACAGGGTGAACCGGGGCACGAGAGCCTTGGGCCAGGCGTCGGGAGACGTACATCCTCTCCTGGCCTGACAACTCATAAAGCCACGTAACCATGGGCATCACTCTGCCTCTGCGGGCACCAAGGTCCTTTCCCCCGCGAAATGCCCCACATCAACCCTGCAAGGCAGGAGAAGAGACGCCACTGCCCTTGGTCTACAGCGGAGGAAACGCTGCAAGAGTCAGGTCCCTCCTTTAAGGCGACATGGCCAAGACGCGGGTCTTCACACACTTGCCTTTTCTTTGCTGGGCTGGGACAAGTGCGTAAGGTTTTTGGGGTGGTAAGTGGATAACTGGCCTCTTCTTTGGGATTTAAGTTGGGGTATCCCTCTGAGAACGCACAGGCTCCATCTTTAGGACCGCAGTGAGGAGGTCTGAAAAAGTTAATCAGATACACCATGTATTTAGGCAAGAAACTCCTTCCTTCTAATCAAAGGAGAAATGGAGTTCATCATGAATCCACCAGGCATGAAGAGAAGTGAAAGTTGCAGCGTATCTTGGAGGTGACCTGATTTAGTTTCCCAAGTTTTAGCGGTTCACAGAACCACCCTCAGCACTTCTGCCACCTCTCTGGGTCTGTGTTCCCCTTTATGCAATGTCATGATGTTTTTCCTTAAATTGATTGCTTTTATTATCTGTGAAACTACAATGTGCTAGTCATATTTTTACATTATATGTTAAATATACAACTACTAAAATAAAATATATTAATGTGAACACCACCTAAAATCCTCTTGGGAAGCACCAGGGACACACAAAACAAATGTTGGCAAAAAATGATATAGTCTAAACCTGAGGAAACTGAGGCAGGAGGAGGGAGAAGGTTAAGTGACCTGCTCAAAGACAAAGGCCAAGGCGAGGACCAGGGACTCTGGACCCCTCCGCGCTCTTCTACAGGTCACTGAACGAACTTTTTCGTGCACAGACCAAAATAATTTAATGCATCCGCTGCTTATCTGTGAGGGCTACCAACTGGTGGAAAGGGTCAGAGTCACTTATTAGCCAATGCATTTGAAATTGCTCAAGAACCTGAGCTCCCACTAGAATTTCCACCCTGGAAAGGGATACTGACACCTGTTTTTGCTGCCATCCAATCTCCTCCCGACTCTGCCCCCGGCACCAGTGAGAGGTTTCCACTCTGTGTTCTATCTCACCTTAGCCAAAGCCCAGTCTGACGACACTCCTTTCCAAGGGGTAGGAGGTTGGGGGCACAGCCCTGCTGGGGGCTCCGGGGCTGGCTCCAAGCCGCCCACCTCTGCAGAGAAGGCCAAGGTTCCCTGTGCTTGAGGAGTGCGGGAGGCGCGAGGTCCCTGTCAGCAGAGAGCTCAGGCTGCAGAGGGAGGGGCTGGAGAA